TTTTTTTCTAAAGTTGAAGGAATCTTTTAGGAGATTAGGTATTTATTGGACTATGTATTTTAACTTGAAGCTTTTTTTTAAATTAAAAAAAAAAAATCAATGTAGTAAATTTTTCATATAAGTGTAATGATGTCAATAATGAAAAGTAGCAGCCTGAATTTCCAGCTTTAGAAATGGTGCGTTATTAAACAGGTGACTTTTTTTTTTTTCTTTTTTTTGCATGAATGTGTGTGCCAGGCACTGCCAGGTTGGATTAAGATGGATGTGAGAGAAGATAATGGAAGAAAGATTACTGGAAGTGTGACCCGATTATCTTCAGTGCGCTGAATTCTATGTTATTTCAAATAAAAGTAAGATTTGTGTTCACAATGAGTTTTATTTCTTTGTTCTTTTCTCCTATTGTATCGTCAAAACTGTTCAATGTTTTCATTGGTTGAGAGAATTATAAGAGAAAGGAACACGCCCTTAGGACTATTGCCTTCAAGAGCTTGTGCCATGGGAGGGGGGGGGGGGTCCTTGAGTTCTGCGTGTGCCCCCTTCGTGAAAAACAAACAGCAAAATGTATCAAACAAACTTCGAACACTGCAACATCAGGGAATACCTCTTATGGCTGACGTGACACTGTGTGGAAGTCCACAAATACACACAAAAAAAGCCAAATTCCATGGATGATGCACAGCCTGCCTATGTCTGGGGCAACAGTTTTATCCAGCCCTACAACAAAGCATATTAGACGGCCCGATTGTTTGTTAGAAATATTGTGTATGTAGTGGTACATTTACCATCAGACCAAAAATGATGGTGGTTCTTGGTGGCACAGCCTAAGAAAGGTCAAACAGGGTGGTGGCACAGTCTGAGGGAGTCCAAACAAGATGGTGGCACAGTACACGGAAAAGTATAAAGCATTTGGTGCCACAGACTAAGGAAGACAAAACAAGATGGTGGCACAGTCTAAGGAAGACAAAACAAGATGGTGGCACAGTCTAAGAGAGACCAAACAAGATGGTGGCACAGTCCACGGAAAAGTATAAAGCATTTGGTGCCACAGACTAAGGAAGACAAAACAAGATGGTGGATTTGGGTGGTGCAATCTACGGAAAACCAAATAAGAGGGTGGCTTTTGGTGGCACAATCTAAGGAGACATATAAAGCATTTGGTGGCACAGTTTAAGGATAAGTATAAAGCAAACAATTTAAGACTAACTACATATAAGCAATTGTGGTTTTTTTAAATCAAGTCCACAACTATGACTATTACATTTTCATACACATCAATGTATTTTTTTTTCTGTATACTGGTATTCAAATCACATGAATCACCGGTGAGCCTATATTAATTGATTAAATGATCATAGAAAACAACCAAAATTCATTGTCATTATTGGCACTACAATATATCACAAAATCCTTCCAATCAGACCGATCCATGACCTTTCGTATCTACGCATTGACTCCCAGCTGATGTGAATCCTTCCACTTAGATTGTTCCTTGAACTTAAGTCTCCACGCACGTACTCCCAGCTATGGAACTCCGACTCCACATCATCTGTCCATCTCATCCTTAGAAATGACTAAATGAGCCCGTTGACTTTGAATTGTTGTGATGAGGTCTGTATAAATGTGCAGCGTTTAAACCTACAATTATTACCAAACGTTATATTTATATTATGTCATAAGGCGCCCAATAAATTCAACGATCCTATAAGAATATCAAATACCATTTAGAAAGTTTGTCTCCACCCCTGTTGATCGCCAGGGACACCTCAATGATAAACAAAAGAGTGCTGAAAATTTTTTAACTTGCTTCCTCGACAAAACCTTAAAAAAAACACGCTTAAATTTATATATACTTGTAAAGATGTGTTCGGTTCTACTTTTTCAATTCCTCTATAAAATAACTTCCACTCGTGGCCCGATCTTGAAAACTTGAAGGAAAGAGTTAAGATACATATTGCCCTAAATCTGAATGTGTAAGCCTAGTTTGTAGTTGAATAAACATTGTCTACAGCTTGAAAAATGGTCCTGGAAAATTAAATGGCATTTAAAATAGAGACGTCGTAATCTTATAATTGAAACGCTGTTATGTTTTGAAAGCTTTTAAATGTTTAACAGCGAAAATAAATGCTAATTTCTAATTATATGTGATCAAGTTGGTAGTTTAGCTTCGATGGACGATGTCATAGCCCAACATTTTAAAATGTGTAGGCCTATAATAATAATAATAAAGCAAACCGTCCATATTTTAATGTAGCTAAAGAAAAGGGGGGAAAACTCCGCTGATACAAAGGGAAACAACAAACATGTAATGTACCTTGGTATAGATCCTTAATTTAATTTTGTCATTGAATTGTGTGCAACTTGGTATTGATCCTTAATTTAATTTGATCATTGAATTAAATGTAAATCTGCCACGGCGACGTCGGTACATGATCCGCCACTATGAATCCATAATATTAATAAGCAATAGGTTAATTAGTCTATGGGGATTTAGAACCACTGCTTTATTAGATGTGAGATAAAGCAGACGTCTGTATATGATCATGTATTACTACACTATGTATCAGTATAACTACACTATGGATTAGTATTGCTACACTATGTATTAGTATTACTACCTTATGTATTAATAGTACTACACTGTGTATCAATATTACTACACTATGTATCAGTATTACTACATTATTTAGTAAACACTGTAGTATGAGGTAAAGGATGCCCACCATACTCTTCATATTTTGTACATAAATGCCTAAGTAAGATGTACTCTTATTTCGAATAGCCCAGATTACACTTTGCCACACCTGTACTAATTATTTTATGATCAGCTCAGATTAAACTTTGCCACACCTGTACTAATTATTTTATGATCAGCTCAGATTAAACTTTGCCAAACCTGTACTAATTATTTTATGATCAGCCTAGATTACACTTTGTCACATGTGTACTAATTAATTTATGATGAGCTCAGATTAAACTTAGTCACAACTGTACTAATTATTGTATGATTAGCCCAGATTAAACTTAGTCACAACTGTACTAATTATTTTATGATCAGCCCAGATTACACTTAGTCACACCTGTACTAATTATTGTATGATCAGCCCAGATTACACTTTGTCACACCTGTACTAATTATTGTATGATCAGCCCAGATTACACTTAGTCACACCTGTACTAATTATTTTAGGATCAGCCCAGATTACACTTTGCCACACCTGTACTAATTATTGTATGACCAACACGGCATTACTGTGAGTTCGTGAATGATTTTAATATTTCCTTTGAAACCGTGTCGTACTGAAAGGACTGCTTAAATTCTATGTATGACTTGGCTGAAGACATTTAAACATTTTTTGTTACCTATCAAAAGGATTCAACGCATTCCGTAACTTACCCGGCCACAAAGAAAATGAAATTCAAACTGAACAACGTAACAAAAAGTTACGTAGAAATAAATGATTAAAAACAATTTACAAATCATTTGTCAGACAACGAAATGAAACTAGTGAACTCGATGAAAGTGACTACACCAATGGCAAATGTCACATTTAATGCAAAAAACCAGCAGCACATAGAGATTAACATGATAAATTCAATGATGAACATTTTTATTATTTGGCTTTTTTTTTTTTTAAATGATGTTAAGCCATAATGGGTGTCCTTTTTTTTTTTTTTCTTTTTGCTAACAACCATAAAAGAAATGAATAAATCATATTATTGCCCCATTTCTAAAACAACTTCTAACATCGGAAATGTATTTTTAATAAGACAACATCATCATATTAATAAGATAGAGTACATTATCAAAAAAAAAAAAAAATAACAAATACGCATCTATTTTAATTTATCGAGCAAACGTGGCATCTCTTTGACCTCTTTTCTAGTGCCCTACTTTTGATTTGCACTCAAGATCGCCTTACACGTGTATCATTTAGAATGTTATCAGTAAAATTCACCTCGTATAAAGTAACCCTAACACCGTGTAACATGTCCAGGTTGGGGGGGGGGGGTGATATGGCTACAAATGGGAATCTCGTTATCGCCTGATGCCACAATGTTTGCTTTAACTCAAGGAATAGCTCTATTTATACATGAGGAAGCATCATGATGTGGAGTTCTAATGCCTTTTGCTATAGCGCCTCTTCACACACACCCACAAAAAAGTCATAATTATCCTGCGAGTGTCCAGTTAATAAACGGGAACAGCCTATCATATTACAGTTTACACATTCAAGGAAAACTTGTGGAACAGGTGTGCCGTTTGGCTACCGGAAGGTCAACGAAGTTCATTCATTTTGTAGGTTGGTCGGCGTTGTAGGTGATTTCTCGATGTGACCCATACTTTGTCTTTGCAGTGAAAACCTAAAAATAACTAGACATACAGTAATACAGTGTACAATAAAAGCATGTACAGTAATATGATGTACAGTAATATGTCTAGAGACCGTCTTTCTTTTGGCGGTTGGCCTAAAATAGGAGGGGATGACGTTTACCAAGTCACGTGTTTGTATATTCGCTCAGTAGATAATGTCCCATCCACATACATCGATAAGAAACGTTTCCAGTGTTTACCTACACATTTGCAGTGGCGTTTCATGGGAGGGCAGCGTGGGGAAGGTGACCCCCCAGGATTTTTAATTCCAGATGCGTACAGTGGAATTTTATAAATAGGAACATGTATACATAGTCCCGAAGTAAATAATGAAGAAATGTTTGTGTTCATCAAAGAATTCGCACTTTTCATAGCTATAGGATTCTTAAGTTTATGTAAATGCACCTCCAAGTTATTTAGAAAAATCTGTGCGACGCCACTGCAAATATAGTCACAGTAATAGTGAGAATTAAAGTCTATTGTGCGTGGTCAAGGTGGTCAACAACGCCTCACATATTTTAGTGTTTATTAACTCTCTCTCTCTCTCCCTCTCTCTCTCTCTCTCTCTCTCTCTCTCTCTTTCTTTCTCTCTGTCTTTCTCTCTCTTTCTCTCTCTCTTTCTCTCTCTAAAATATCCACTCCATAATCAGCTAATATGTGCCATTTTCTTCTACACATTCTGTGACTTATGTTAACTTCACTTTGTCCACCTCATTTGGTACGTCTTTTATCTCGGCCGTATCAGGACCGAGTCCCCGTGTTGGAATGACATGTCCGACACGTCAGTGCCAATCATGTCCTCATTTCTGTCACTCATTTTGGTCGTACCCCCTTCCCCGCCCGGCCCTGGCATTGCGGTCGCGTAAGACTCTGGCTCAAGACCTGACGCTTTCTTAGGTGGCAAAAACATCTCGAGCTTGTCCCAGAAGCACGGCTCTCCCACCCTGAGGTAATCGTGGGTGTTCATGTAGGCTCTGAGGTCCGGGGACAGCTCCTCGACGTTGATGTCATCGGTGGCGATGATGATGAGGCGATTGGCGACCAAGAGGAGCCGCTGGAACGCCGCGCGCACATCCATGATGCACCATTCCTTTTTAAGAAAGTCCTTGCTAAGAACCAAAATAGCACAGCGACTGAGTCGTATCGCCCAGGGGATGTTATCGACCACAGGTTCTCCTGCAGGGAAATCTCGGTAGTGCAAGCAGAGCCGGTATTTTCGCGGCCCGTTTTCCAGATGAGGCACTAGAGTATCGACCACCCACCTGTAATTGTCCTGGCTGTACGACACGAAGGCGTCATAGGGATTGAAGCAATCTCCGTAGGAGAAGCTGTAGCCGATTCTTAGTCCAAGCTTTGAATAGAGCAGCACGGTGATTTCAGATCGGTAGCAGAAGACGATGACGAGAGTGGACACGACCGACGACAGCGCCAGGCTGATGGCGAGGAACGTGTCCATGTACGAGGAGGACTTGCAGTTTAAATCCATCTCGTTCAGCTCCTCGACGGGCTTCCTCAGGTAGTCGCAGACGATGTTCCCGGGCATCCAGAGGGATGACTTGTGCTTGGTGATCCAGCGGGGCAACCAGAGACTCTCGCACGAGCACGACCACCTGTTGTTGTGTAGCGTCACGTTGGTGGCGTGATTCAGCGTCAGATTGCGCGTGCTTGATGGCAGCTTCTGCAGCAGGTTGTTGTGGAGCGTCAATACACGGATGTTCTGCAGTGCGGAAATGGCGGCTGGAGTAACGGACATCAGTAAACAGTTGTCCATATGAAGCTCGGAGAGCTGTGAAAGGTAAGACCGATAACTCAGCATCTGCAGCGGGTTGTGGTCCATGTAAAGGACGACACGCGCATCAGGATAAGTCGGTAAAGCGTCTGGTAGTTCTAGCAGTTTACTGGACGAACAATTTATTCTAAGTGTGTCCAGATTTTCAAGAAAGCACTTGCAGGGATGAGGGCAGTTGTCGATAATTTGGCAATGGGTGTGAAATAACAGAGATTTTATTTCTTTGCCCTTAACTAGGGGCGGGCCAAAACATTTCATCTGATTCATATCCAGAAATACGGTCTCAGCTGAAGTGCCATTGGCTGTTTTGTTGTCCAACCATTTAACACACTTCTCGAAGTCAATCATGTCACAATCACAAAAATACGGATTATTTCCAGATACTATTCTAAGGCGAGCGTTTGTGATGGGGTTTCGAGCGCACTCTTTCCACGGTGGGTATATCAACTTGTTGTCACGGACGTCCAGCTCCAGTGCAGCTCTATCTTCGGGCATGTTTTCGGGATTTATAGAAACCAATGCGTTGTGACTTACATCGAGAAGCTCCAACTTTGAATTGGCGAGAAATGTGTGCAGTGCGAGGACCTGGAGGCGGTTGTTACTCAAGTACAATTTCTTTAGATTCTTCAGATTAATAAAGGCGTCTTTTGACACCTCCCTTATGTCATTGTTGCTGAGGTCGAGCACGTGCATGCGGCCCATATTTCGTATCGACTCCACACTTCTGATTTTATTATGACTCAAGTTAATTATGAATATGTCGGGCACTTGGGAACTATCTGGTGCTTCGAGTATTGGTGTCAAGTCACTGATGTGATTGAGCGACAGGGACAAGTAATTCAGTTTAACGTTCTTGGGGTCGAGAACACATTCGGGAAAACGAGTGAGATGGTTGCCTTCGAGGTTCAGTGTATCCAACCGCTTGGTGAACAGGAGGTCGCACTCGTAGCTTTCGATGTGGTTTTCTTTCAGGGTTAAATGGGATGCCGATAACATGTACTTGTCTTTCCACTGTTTGGGTGGGGACGTTATCCGCGAACCCACTATCACTAAAGACATTGTATTCATTGAAAATTTCAGGTCAAGCTTCTCTATGACGGTAGGCCCACCTTTTTCGATGTCTGCGATCCAGAGGTTCATGGGAATGATTATTCTCGTTACCGGCTCTTTGGGCAGGATGGTGCAGTGCTCACTCGCAAAGATGTTAAATGATGTGTGCCACGATGGAATATCCCAAATTAGAATCTCTTTTTTGCGGCATTTTACTTGTAGAGCGGTGTACATATAGAAGTCGACACCGTTGAGCAAGGAGGTGACTGAGTGGACTTGTCCATCGGACAATATACACGAAACGTCTGCTATTCTATGCAGTATGGGTGCAAATATCCCAAGGAAACCCATGTAATCCGATCTTGAGTCAAATCTGTTAATTTCAGGTCTGTATTTCTCGCCCATTAAGATGAAGTGTTTCTGGTTAAATTGTCTCATAATGCTTTCCATGGGGTTTTCACGACACGTACATAGGTGAGAGCAATTAAGCTCGTATTTGAACAGTGGATTGTAGGGATACACGTACTTTGGGAGAGTGAAAAACATTAGAGAGAAGACGATCCCCGCAGAACTAATACCCATGGGTACGTACTTACGTTGGATCATTTTCTGAGATGGGACGAACCATTATCCAAGAATTTATGGGAAACCAATCAGACATTGAAAGAGGTTCCATGTTTTTTCCCCATACTTTCTTAACAACGCCTCGTGACGTCGCATTTTGGTGGGTCTACGTAAACAAAACTATGCATTTCCCGTAGTTCGCGGCTTCGAGATTAATTGCAGAGCACCGTGCGAACAGGTGCGGAAGTAGATCAAGACATGGAGATGCGTTCAAAAGTAGACCATACAAAATAGCAGACAACATAGGCGTATCCATAAACTGTTGCAATCTTTTTTAATGGAGACACATTGATTAAAGCTGTAAAACTGGTTTTGGGTTGTATCTAATTATACAGCATTTCTTGTAACATATTAAAAATATAGTTGATATCTCCGATGAAAAGAAAATAAATTGTGGGAAAATATATTTTTTAGACTTGAAAATCAAAGACGAGACAATTAAGCGGACATTTCGGCAAGATGCCTTCTTCAGCAGACAATACAATTAAACAGCATCAATTTAAATCAAAAGATCTTCGAAAACTTAGATCTAAGTTTTATTTATTTTTTAATTAGTGGTTATTAAAAAGAATTGTAAGTCCACAGTTATTTTTTGTCTGCTGAATGATAATTTTAGCAGACAATGGAGACATTCATAGCCTCATTTCTTAGAAAAGTGGCGCTTCTCAAATAATCTTTACCAGTCTCTTCATCATATTGGGAAAACACTTCGCCATGACCCCATTTTCATATTGCATCATTACTAGTCTGTACATATTTTGTTTCTGTATGTTCACTTTATGTACGATGCATTTCTGCATGTGTTATCCAGTTTCGTGGCAATAATCATTCACTTACTTGCCCATTGAATAGTCTCATCAATGTTTACCCCAACCCCACCTTAAAAAAAAAAGAAATAAAAAAGGCATTTAGACCTATAACTATATGTGTTGCCATTCACACAGTAATAAAATTGTTATGACGTTTCTCTTACCCTAGGGGCAGCCACTCTAGACGCATTTATATTTATAGGGAATTATGGATCAACTGTTACCCCCTGGTAAGACAGATAAATACCTTCAGCACAAAGATAAAAGCAGATTGTTCTCTTGTTGGTTTTTTTTTTTTTTTTGTTTTTTTTTGGAGCTGGCGTTCTATCAGATGATGCCCTAATCCAAACATAAGAAAACTGTTCTGCTTGGGGGTCAAGACACTTAGTTGAGAGCAGCCGGGCCCGAGGTTAAATCTCTTTTTTGTTTTTTTTTTTTTTTTGTTTTTTTTTGGAGCTGGCGTTCTATCAGATGATGCCCTAATCCAAACATAAGAAAACTGTTCCGCTTGGGGGTCAAGACACTTAGTTGAGAGCAGCCGGGCCCGAGGTTAAAACCATTGGGGCTGGAGAGGTCGGTTTGAGAAGTCAGGCAAACACTTGGTCAGCTATTGGTCAGTGTGTACTAAGCGAGACGGGCGGGGAAGCTGTCTTTCCGAACTTAAATATATAGTTATATACCGTACATACTTCCTTGTGGCGCTACAGCCCATGTACGGCTTTGACCACATCCTTCCACTCAGATCTAATGCTTTTCTTTTCCATGCGTGTATTCCCAGCTGCTGTAGATCCCTCTCGATATCATCCATCCATCTAAAACTATGTTTGCCTTTGAGCCGTTTCCCCCTGGGGTTTTGGTGGTGCCCCCTCTTCACTCCTCTCTCTCTAATGACATTCTTTCTTGATGTAAAGCCCAGCGCAGCCTACCCTTTTTATTTCTGCTGCTACTATTGTGGGATCTTGATACAGACTATACAATTCCTGGTTGGTTGGTATTCTTCTCCCATATTCATCCCTTGTTTGGTCCGATAGAATACTAGACAGTGAGTCTCCTTGTCGGTGTCGTAGGCCTCGTCTAATCTGAAATACCCTTGAATAATCTCCCAGAAACGTGTATTTGCTCTTTGATTTTTTTTAAATATTATATGTTTCAGCCTTTTCAGTTTGTTGGATATCCCATATAAAATAGTAAAACTAAACAAGGAATGTTGAAGCTTGAATCAAAATACAGGACAATAAGATGTGGATGTTTCGGCTTAGAGCCTTCTTCGGCGATAAGGACAAATAGAAATACGACAAGAAACAGAGCACAGTAAAAAAAAAAAAAAAATAAATAAATATCAATTATTATCTTTGGGATATTCCCAACTCATTAAGAGTCTCAGTCTCATATAGATATTTTCTTTTGATGCTGTCACAGGCCATGTTACAGTCCACTTAGAGTTGTTGTACTGGATCATTATATTCGTAACATTTCTGAAATAGGCATCTGATGGTGAAAATCGCATCAGTCATTGATCTGTTTTGTGTGATGCCACACTGGTAGTCAACCAGTTTTTGTTCAGTGTACGGTTGCAGTGTGTATGGTTTGTTAGTGATGTTTCCCATTCTTTTTGAAGTTTCTATTCTTTCCAAATTGTAGTTAAACGTGTATGTGTCTGAGAGTGTTGTTCATCCTGTGATGCTTCTAGTTGTGCTTCTTCTTCAATTTGGTCAGCCTTTGCGTTTAATGGCTCTTTGGTAAGTTTTTGGTTATCATGTAGCTTTTCTCTTTAATTTCGGCCATTGTATATTATGCTTATTCTCTGATTATTTTAATCCTTACAAGTAAATGGCCAGGCTGCATCTGCTCCTCGATATCTTCTTATGTCTAGTATGTCTGAGCCATGCCTCCGATCGATTAAAGCGTGATTCCATCTGGTGAGTTCCAAGTAACTTTATGTGTTGTATCGCTTCGTATAATGAAATCTGACCACATCAACCCAGTTCTTAAAGATCTCCGCTGGCTTCATGTGAGTGACCGCATTGGCCACAACATTCGGTCCCTGGAGTATATCTGTATAGAAGGTTCTGCACTTGATTATCTTTAAAAAAACTTATTTCTAAACATGTATCCATGCAGAACCTGCGCTCGTTAACACAGTCCTAACCTTACACTGAGAGTTTCCATGCAGTGTGGATGGACACAGAAAGAAGTCATACGGAGTGCGCTCTTTTGACGCTATTGAGCCTAAATTGTGAAACAGTTTGCCTCAGACTTTGGGGGGAAATTGAAAATGATAAAAAGTCATTTAAGAGCCATTTAAAGACTTTTTTCTTCACATAGATTTTAGGACATGGGAACGCTATGAGCTATCATCATATTATATTATTGTTTGGAAAGTTGGTGCTGCTGTCATCCCTCTTCCTGAAGCAGTCTATGAGTCGGATACCATTGTCACATAGATTCTTCATGAAGACTCTCCTTGCCAAATAGTTCGCTAAACACTTTCTTTCCCTCTTTTACTATTAATATCATGTCGTGGTTGTCTCATTTTAGACCTTTTCCAGCGTCTCATAGGATTCTTTTTATCTGACCTTCTGTATCTTCGGTGGGAGTATGAACATTTATAAACTTTATACAGCAGTAAAAATTTTCCTCGCACACGAAGAGAGCACAATCTTTTATTCTCTGGTTAAAACATACGACTTCACTGACTGCTTCTTTCTCCACAGCAAATCACGTTCCAAGAATGTTAACAGTTTGTGTTGCGACTATAAAATATGGTGTAGTCTTTTGTCTTGATGTCTGCATTTTTCCTCGAATTTATTGCAATGTAGCACTTTGAGATTTTATATCTAGCTAGTTGGGCTTACACTCAAGATGGATTATGACTTTGATTTTAGGACATTATTTTTCAAGGGTGAGAAAATCCAAGATCTATTGGGACTATTTCGGACATGCATTACAATTCTGAGCTGAATATGGAAATGGAGAGGGGGGGTGAGTATGATATTTTTGCATATTGTATTAATAGTATCATATTGTGTAATACTGGATAGCTCCTTTGTTCATTTAAATTTTATACTTTATTAAAGTTACATTTGATTGGCATACATTTGCAATTAGTCATCTAAATTAATGTCTTAGACAGGCAATTTTTTTCTAAGGGTTAGGTTGATAATTAGATCATTTACTGGTAATCCCAATCTGACCTTTTGATAGGTGGGGAGCCAGATATTTACATTGCCACAAACAACTTTTAATGTGAGGCACAATTACTGTTGTATTACAAGTTAAAGACACTGCAAGAGCTTATTTTTAATATGTGTAGATATTTTAATAAAGTATATAAAATTATAGATGACTAAACTACTCTATAATGATAAATTTCAAAATGAGATTACTTCTTAACTAACAGGATGTGTTGAATAGACTTGATGACCCGATATGAAAATGGCATTTTCAAAATAAAAACAGGCACTTCTAAAGACTTCTATTGGTCCAATGATCAACAACAAAAACACAGCCATGCAAAACCTTAACTTTGAACAAAACCGAAACTCTTTTTTTTATAAAAACTTTTAATCATTCTTGAACTGCTCTTGTGCAAACATGCCCATGTCCACCACATAGAACACCACTGTATATTAACTGACCCATTTGGGATGACAACAAACAAAGTTATCTTAAATCAAAACAAAATTTAAGGTCTCCAACATTTCAAAGAAAAAAGACTTTAAACAAACGTTTAGCAACAGAACAATATCTCTCACAGAAGACATTAAGATTAATCTGTTGCTGGAAGATCACTTTAGTATTCACGTAGCCAGACATTTAACAGTCCGATTGGATCAATTTTAGTACTCCTGTTATGTAACAACATGGAAGAAAATATCGCCATTACAAAGAACCTAATGACAATGTTCCTAAAAAACATAATGGTGGAATTATTTGTACATTCGCTCACCGACATGTAACCAAGCTTAACAAAAATAAACCACTCTTATCTTTATCTTGCATTTAACAAACTACTTGCATACACATACATGTGGAATATGACAGATGATAGAGCAACTTTAAATCAACACATTACAAATCGGTTTTGTCTGCCTTCTTGCTCTTCTTCTTTTTGCCATCTCTGCTATAACCCTGAAGGCCATCAGTGGATTCTTTAGCTAAATACTTGATGAATTCATCAACTTCTCTACCACCCTGAAAAATACAACATATGATATTAAATTGATGTCACTTTTAAAGGAATCAACTTCTCTACTGTCTTAAAAAGTTAGTTACCTTTCATTATCCAAGACTCAGTCAAAAGTAATCAATATAATATATTTTTGTGTTGTTAATTGATTAACAAAAATAAAATTCACAAAACGCCACACAACAAATACCTCATATTTCTTTGGGGAATTCTTGCTGCCTTTGGGTGCAAAGTAAAGGGTTGGGAATCTGCAAAAAATGGGGTTTAAAATGTTTAAAAAATCAAAGAATTATTTTATAAAATTGTCTTTGGGCTATTGTAATATGAAAATACCAATTTGTGCATATTTTATATATTTTAACACTAAAAGAAACATTTTATATGGAATGATGAGAAAATTAAGGGTCAAAAGACAGAATTGTAAAAAATTATGAGGAAGAAAATTTCCGGACAGAATTTTTAAACATACCCTTTAACATCATATGGTTTTGGAACATCATTTGCTGTTGCGTCCATCTTGGCAATAACGATATCATTTTCATCTTTCAGCTAAACAATAGATGACAAATTGTTACAAATAAGCCATTTGTTTAATTGAATACTTTTTAATTTTAACAATGTGCAAAATAAAAAATATAATAAAAAATCATAGCATACCTTTTCAGCTAGTTCATCATATTTGGGTGCTAAACTCTTGCAGTGTCCACACCATGGGGCATAGAATTCAATCAAAACATCCTTATCTGGATTATTCACTATCTCATCAAAGTTTTTACCTACAACCACCTGCAAAATTAAGATAGAAAAAGACAGAAGTGAACTGAGGTGAAACAAGAAGACAAAGAAACACAAAAATATGAAAACATTAGGTAGACAAGAGGTGTCTCCTAGCTGCCTCTCACAATTATTAGTTTTAATCAGGTAGACATGAGACCTCAAACTTACCAATGATGACCAATGGCTAAAATTCATGAATGACTTTTTTTTAGCATTGGTTTTTTGTTTTTTTTTGAAGCATGCAAGTTTAAAATTTTTAAATTTAATTTCATTATAATCATATTATAGCACAAAACCATATTGAAGGATAGAATAAAGGGGAAGAAAAAGAAAAAAAGGAGGGGGGGGGCGGGGTGCCAAGTTGCTGTTTCAGCATGTGAGCATACAAGTTAATCAGAAGGGGACTAAAACAATGGTGCCATTATACCAAATACCTTTGTTACAATTATGAACACCACTTAATGATAAAGCTATGGACAAATTTACCTTTACTGGTTCATCATTAGACTCTGGCACTGGTTCAGATTTAATGAAGGGTTCTATTTTGCCTGCCAAAAAGTCACTGATAAACTGTTCAAAAGACTCAACACTGAAATAGGATTTTAAACTTTTTGTTACATCAATCCATGATTTTAAAATAGGCTCATTTTTTTTATCTGTCATAATTTTAAAAGAATACTTAATTAATATCACTACATTCACCATTCCCAGATTTTTACGAGTCAACACTTCATTTTCAAGTGTTATTAATTAACAAACAAAGTGTAATGCAGTGATATGAAGTAATAATGAAGTGTGTTTCAAATGAAAATAATTTTTTTTTAAAGAAGCAGCAGCTAACTCTGCAATTAATGAAAAACTACCTGAAGGTTTCAGTCATCTTATATTTCTTGTTTTGGCTATCCCATGCACAAACAACGGGTTTATCTCCACCATTTTCAGTAATGCCACATTCCTCAAGTTCTCTGTTCATTTCATCCACATTGCTGATGGCAAAGTATAAAGTCTTTCCTTCTTCCCGTAGCTGCTTTCCAACTTTCATAATCCTATGGAAAAGTCCAAAAATCTTTTTTTGTAAAATGCAAAAAATTTCACAAGAATATTTTTTTTAAACTTCTTTGAAACAGTTTAGCATTTTAATGAAAGACACCATACTTTTTCACTTTGTATTCTACTCCCACAACAATTAACCTGCATCAAGAGGGCTGAAAAATAACTTTAAATGATGCATAATACAACTAATTATTCTTCCTTATCACAAACCTGTTTCTCCAATAGTTAGTTCCCTTTGGATTTTTAGTATAGTCTACGTTGAAGTAAGCTACAAACAATGGCTTTCCAAAATTTGCAGCATTACTCATGGTACGCTCAGCACAAAGACCCAAGCTGCAATAAAATAAACATTTTGACATAAACTTCAAAATGTCTCAAACATGATACATACATTAAATAGTAGATTAGAATAGGCACTGTAAAACTAGGTCTTTAAATTATATTAACCATGAGACTTGGAAATACTAATGCAAATGATAAAAACTTACGCTTCCGACTGTAAGAAAGCCTTTAATTTAACTGTGCCAGACTCAGTAAATCGGACCTCTGCATCCTCAAATCGGCTTTGAAGAACCTTAGGTCTAAATAACACAACTCCGCTGAGAAAACAAAATGTAAAATGTATTTCAGATGATAAATAGTATTTCTTCCATGTTAAATACAACTGCATCAATCAAATTTTTATAAAACTTTACCATCATAGTTTGGTGTTTAACAATACAGAATAATTCTGCTGCATTTGGCTTAAGGATCTCTTTCAAATATCACTTCCATTCTATTAAACTGGAATTGTGTGGACGAGACTCAGCAATATTTTTTTTTGTTTAAATCAAAAAGAATAAAAGGGATATAAACTTTTGGTTTTGATTGGAATAACAAAAATAAACATGGATATAGATATTTATATTTGATCATTATTCTAAAAAAATGTCAAGCTAAAAGTTTACTCTTGTCTGACTAAGGTTGGGCTTATAAATCAAAAGAGTGTTAAGCAGTAAATGTCTGACTTACTTTGATTGTTTTAACTCTTCTTTGACTTTATCACTAACAGTGTGTGCAAATCTAATGTCTGGTAGTTGATCTGCAACCTTTAAGAAAGTCTTGGCATCATTACTATCTTCTGCATCAAAGAAACCTGGGAAGTTAACAAGTTAATAAGTTTGCTGTAAAAGATTTGGGCTCAGCTTCTGGCTCTTAAAGAAATAGGTGGTTGACACCTAAAGAAGCTTAATTGTTTTTTTAATAGTATATAGAAAATATTTAAAATTGACATGTGCAAATTGGCACACAAAAATTGTCACCTATTTTTTTTTTTATCAAACCACCAAAATAATAATTACCAATTACACCAACTGAGTCCTTGTCTAGGAAGTTTCGGGCCTCTTCAACAGTCTCTAACTTTTTGGAAACAGGTCCAGCCTCTCTGTTCATTGTTTTCACAATACCATCTGAAACATTCCACATATCCTTAGATACTAATTATAGCTACTTTTAAATATAAATAAAAAAATTTACAAGCATATGATTGTTAGGAAAATTTTGAAATGTGATCATGGGCATTTTGTTCCATAACAAAACAATAATAAATAACCAGTTTAAAGAGTGTTTAATAAAGAATAAAGTAACTCATTAGAAAGTAACTTACCAGATTCCCTAGGTCCCTCATAATCTTTAGATACCTCTCCTCCTTTGAAGATCTTTAGTGTTGGATAACCACTAACACCATATTTAGAACAAACACTTGTCTCTACGGTACAATCAACCTATAAATAAAGATATGCTCTTTTTTATTGTTCTATAATTTCAATTGAGGCACTAACTGTTAACTTGAATAACTTGAATGTGAAATTAAATGATGTGGAAGATCAAAGCTCTGTTTAGAACTGCATAAAAAGTTATTATGCTTATGAAAAACTGTTGTTGACAGTAAGAATAATGAAAAAAAAGTGATACAGTGCCCACAACTTTACTGCCAGTTTATTAAAAATTTGAAACTTTAGACTACAAGTGACAATTTCAAATATACAGATCTATGCATAATATTAAGATGAAATGTATAAAAACTGCACTATACATCAGTAATTTGTGAACGCTCATATCAAAACTCATATTAAAATTGCTTTGTGTAGTTTGCATAGTGATAAAAGGATAGCTAGAAAGGTAACAAACCTTGACAAGGGTGACTGGTGGATCTGATTTTTTAAGAATAGTGGCTGCTTTTTCATATTCCGGAGCCAAACGTTTGCAATGACCACACCTGTGAATGAAATATAATATGATACAACAACTGCTAATCATTATAAAAACAAGAATTAACAGCAATGAAGATGGTGGTTCTTAGATTTTATCTTTTTCAAAATAAATATTTATGTTGAATGGGAACAAGGTGGCAGAAGATGGTGATAGTGATGCATCCTTTTAATTTTAAAAATATAAAAACTTGGTTTTTAAGGTTTGTTGAAAATTATGATGAAAAATTTTAAAAGACAAGGTAACCCAATCAAATCCATGATGTTCTCATAATCTGAACTACTTTTTCATAATTTTTTCTCTGCCCTTTAATATGAGCTTTACTATTTACAACTTTAGTTTACTTGTAACATTAACATCTCTTAATTTTTGTATGAACCACTTTTTCATCTGCTAGCAACAATACAAATTAATCTTTCCTTCTCAAATCTGTATTATGATCATTTATTCCAATGACTGCATTATCTTCCTGAACCACTTGGTTGATAAAATTTCTATAAAAACCATAGGCCTATAAAATGAATATCTCAATCAATCTCAACAAATAATAACATAATTAATAAGCAAATAGGCTAATTATTCCTATTATTTTCTTACCATGGTGCATAGAATTTCACTAATACCACGTCATACTTTGCAATTTCGGAGGCAAAATTAGCATCTGTCAAAACCACAACATCATCAGAGGCAAATACTGCCGACAACAGAACTGAAAAAACTATAAGAATTTGATACTTCATTCTGGGTGATAAATTCTAAACTCGTCAACTTGATGTTCTCTCTTCTTTGCAAATGAAGTGTTATGAGACGTCTTGCCGGCTCACCAATCATGTGTAGCTGCCTGTGTTGTCCGAATTTCATTGGTCCACGAAGTAACATGTCTCGACATCCGGGAGATTGTTCAGTTTTCCAAATTGAAGAGTAATCCAACTTTCATTACCGCACTTCCGCAAAAAGGAAAACAAACACTGTAGTCAACAAACACTAATAATTTTAAAGGCTAATATACCCTGTACTTTCTGTAACCTTTTTAGTAGGCTGCAGCTGACCCTAGTTTGTAATATGATTCAGTGCTCCATTATACCCTCTATTGTCTCTATTTAAGTATGCACTATCAATTCACCCATGCATTTATTAGTAATTTATTTAATTTATGAAAGTTTAAGCAAGGAGTCGTGTCGTAGTAAGGCAAGGCAACAGGGTAGTAGTAGTAGTAGCGCCATGACCATAGTTAGTTAAAATTAGAAGTTAGTAAATTTAAATTAGTGGTAGTAGCTCTGGTTCTGGTAAGGTATGTTGCTGCATCCATATACTGCCATATATGCAACGGTTGGGGAAGCGACGCTGCTATCATAAAGGCTCCTAGCAGATGCCAGGGTAGCCGAGACTACGGCAGCATTGTCCAGTTGGTTCCAAGCAATTTTTGTTCGTGGGAAGAATGATTCTTTATATTGGACTGTGTTACACCGAGGCACAGTGAAGCATTTACTATTGATCCGGATGTAACTGCTCAAGGGGTTGTCAGAGGTGAAGTCAGTGTTTATTGAGCATTTGGCTCTGATTAAGCAACCAGGCTTCTGTGGGGTGAGCTATGTGTTAGCTGGGATGGTCGGCACTAGCCCTGTGTCCACTTTATTTAGAATGTTAGGTGGAGCTTTTCTCATTTGTCTTTGAGGGAGGGGATGTCAAATCTTTTTAAGATGTCAGTGACGAAACCAGGAGTGGTGGATTTGTAGTCACTTGCGATGAAGCGCACTGCATTACATTGTATTCACTCTATCTTGTCCATGTCTTGTTTTAGGTATGGGTCTCGGATGATGGCACCATTTTCTAGTAGTGGATAGACGAGTGCGAGATAGGCATTTCGTTTGCAGGATGTTGGGCAGTGGCACAGATTTCTTCGAATGAAACCAAGTGTGGAGTTGGATTTTTTTAAAATTTTGTTTATATGATGGGACCATTTTAGATTATTGTAGTACAGTATTGAGGAGACTTTAGAAATTATTTGCCTAAGTTTAGGCTACACCAGGGGTGGCTAACCGGTTAAACCAAATGACTTCACCTAGCCAGCCATGACATGCCATTTTGATCTCGCAACTCTTCGCGGGCCCGCATGTCATTACATCTGCAAATAAAATAAACACCAAATAAGCGATGTACTTCATACAGAATTATTTATTTTATTTATTCTTAATTTATCTCAAATGATAACACTGACAAATCTTTTCTACATGTGCCGCCACATGAATAAATAAATTGTATAGATATTAATCGAGATATATCTGTATAGTATACATGGGTACATGGGTGGGGATAGGGTTGCCAGGTCTGCTTCCAAAAAATAACGGACAAGCGGGAGGGGTTAAGTAGTTAAAAAAATATTTAAAATTTAGATTTACCGCTAATTCAAATTTAACAGTGAATTCACGAATTCGTAGACTTTGCTAAATTCACTGTAGCTATGTATTTGTGTTTTTGTGAGAACTGATTCAACTGATGGCTATTACTAAAGATTAACCTAATATTACTTACATGGTGATTTAATTATAACACAGCAAAATAGTATTTACATAAAAACGATTAACTTTTATGTTTATAATGCTTCAACGAAATCTTTGGTTTGACGAATTTGCGCTCTACATTTTAAGGCTAGTACTGATTGAACCTCAAATGATACGTTATCTAGTGTTCCAAAACATACCTATCCAACTAAGAAAAAAGTACAATATAAAAATAATAGGTAAATGTGAGTTAAGAAAAATAGTTTGTAAATAATTTTATATACTTTTATTAAATGTCTTGTAAAACAATTGAGTATCAAAATCATAGTATGATTAATAATTTTTTCAGAGAATCAAGTTCAATGGATATTCCATCTTTGTCTCATTCTAACTTATGAAAAAAAAGACAAAACGCAATTCTCCTTTCCTTATTCTCTTACAAATTGTACAGCTTTAGATTCACTACCATTGCATCATAAAACTTTTGAATAAAAAAAATGTCCACTATTTTGTGAACAAAAATAGTGAACATAATGTGAAAAATGCAGACCATCCACTCAAATAGTGGACACCTGGTGACCTTAGTGGGGGGAGCAGAAATTGAGTGAGCTAAATGAAGGCTTGCGAGCAGAGATTGACTTATGTGCAAACCTGAAATAAGTTTTGCACCAATCTACACTTGAATGAAGAGCATCAAAGAAATGCATGTGAAAATATAGGTGCTCTTGACATGGTTGTGTTTATACAATCTTTTATTTTTAGTAGTTACTAAACAGTAAGGTTGTTTTATCATTTTTATTTAAAAAATTGGTAAATTACTAATTTGAATTGATATTTTTAAAAATCAGACGAGAAATATACAGTGACAAAGAAATAGCAAATTTACTGATGAAAGAAGTTCATTTTTTATTGATCGCCACAACATTTAACGCGCCAGGCCACGGGTTTGCCACCCGGGGCCAAAAAATATGTCATTTTTTAGACCTAACTTTTAAACTTAAGTTCTTTAGAAAAGTAACTCTTAATCTTATCAATGACTTAGTTAAGCTCTTAGCCTACACTGACACATCCCATACTTTAAAAGTTTCAGTTCGCTACAGTCAATATGTGATTGTGTTGTGATGGACACTAACTTAAGTTATTACTCTAACTTTTACTCTTAGCACCTTATTAATATTAGGCATATTTATTATTTAGCCTTAACTTATCAAATTACATGGACAACCCTATCTTGTTACAAAATAGAAGTTACCATACCAATAGGCATACATTAAATATTGTAATATTGTGATCCTGAATTTAAACAAATATATTCACCTTTACTAAGTTCCTATACCACCATTACTATCATCTTTTCAATTCAGTTAACTAAGTATTTGTCACCAATAAAATGTTGAATTTGTATTGGTATCCTAGAATTAGTTATATTAATCTGATGGGCACTTTTTGGTAATCACTCAGTTGTTGGTAGGCCTATATTTACTATTGGCACTAACTAGCCAAGTTAGTTACTTCTAAAAGATTAAGTTTAAGACATTTGGGGATAAAATAAAATTATATTAGTATGAATTGTATCCTCTGAAATAAGTTATAGTACTTAAAGCCATAATTTTACTGATCAACTTGAATTCAAATGAAAGATTATGATTTTGACTATCAAATTAAGAGCCATGCTATGGGAAGGATTGTGCTATCAAGTGCCTAGCGTTTATTCTATTCAAAGTGTTTAACAAGGCTTGGGCAGAATTAACTTTTCATGCTTATTCTTATTATGCATTCAGCCCATTGAAAAACCTTCACTCCCATCCCAATTAACTGACGACCAATTTCACTTTATGTTACCAAATGGCTAATGCATTATAGATGATTAAAAAAACACAGTGTATTTGAAATTATTTGAGTTTTTTGTGCAATTTTTGTATAGTGGCTGTTTAAATGATGTGTTGCAAAAGACACACAAAAATGTGAAAAGATATTTTTTTAAAATAATAATAATTTAATTTTCTAAAAATGGTAAAAATTTGTATGATAATATTTTTTCAAAAGGCAAAAATTTGTTATATTTCATAAAAACATAATACTGTAGCATCAAATGAAGACAGCAATTCACAAAAAACAGCTATGGAATATGCTGGAGTAAACTATTGAATTTAAAATTGTTTTGAGTTTAAAAAGTATGTTGAGGTACCTATACATAATTGTATTTTCAAACAATTAACAATCAGTCTCTGGTAAAGCTAAAATATGTTTACCAACATATCCTTCAGACTACACCCTCACTAATGTTTTTTTTTAAAAATAATATTTAATCTTTACAGATTTTTTGTTTAATGAAAATCAAAATAAACCTGAGCTGTCATAAATGATTATTAAGAATTAATGCTAATTAGATATGCATGAAAGCACATGTATACAACTGACTTTTTAAGCTGATGTGGAAGAAAAGAAAATCTCACATTTAGTTAAAAAAATCTGTCTGTTTCAACAACCTATGCAATGTAGATATCCGTGGGAAATATGGCTGGTAGGCTAAAGCCAAGGAATGATTATTCTTGCCAAATTGAAGAAGCTATTATTAACAACCAACCTGATCTACTAGCCCATGTGTTAATAAAGGTAAACAAATATGTAATTATACGTAATAAACAATATCGTGACTGAAATGTCTTCAACTTCAACAGCATGTTTTATTAAAGAAACGTAAGATAAGAATTTTTTTTTTTAAAATTAAATATCCTTTCACTGGCAATTTAGTTATCAACATTGATATTGCTGTTTTTAAAATCTTTTTTCTATTACATTAACAGGCTGATGTTAACACTTGCCTCAACAACAGAAGGGACTCTCCCTTATTTCTTGCTGTCAAGTTGAGCCATGCTTCAATTGTGAGAACTCTGTTGCTGTCACCTGGATGTGACCTTGCACATCAGAATATTAATTATTACTCCCCTATAGATCTGTCATTGGTAAGTCCTATTTTACTCTCTTACCTATCAGATTGTTTATGTTTCTTTAACACATTTTATTTACGTTTGATCAACCATTATCTAGATGCATCAAATCAATCAACTTTTGAAGGTGTCAGATTTAAGTTTGGTGAAGTTAGTAAATATGTTCCTATGCTTTGTTTATTTTTGAAAGCTATATAAAATACATCTTGTCAAATTGCCTAACAACTTTACAATGACAACAACTTTGGCAGGAAAATAAAACAAGGGGATCTGGATATAAATATATCCAGTTGTCTAAGTTCAAATATTTGAATACCCTTATTCAAAATTATAATATAAAAGAAATTCTTTGAAAAAGATATTAGACAATGACACTGTTTTCAGTAAGGTAGTTCTTCATATACTGTAAAGGCAAGGCAAATAACTTTAAATATCCCACATTTTTAGTAAGGGTTTTCATTAATAAACAATTTTTTTAAATTTGATAGTGACGTAGGTTACAGATTCTTCCTTATTGCATTATTACATACAACTTAAAACAATATGTTTTAAAAATTGTTGTTTTTCGGTAATTGTTGTATATTTATTCAAAGTCCATCTTAATATTATACATAAAAAAATTAAAACCAGATAGCTTTTTAAAATGAATTTTGTGTTCTTCATTTAATGTTAATCGATGTTCCATTATTTCAGGTTATGGTTTATGACAACCAGAAGGAGCCTCGCCAGAGTGCATGCTGGAATATTCTTGAAATGTTATTAGAAGCAGGAGCAGAGCCTGCTTGCCCAGATGCCATGCTGTATGTTATAAGAACTGCCCTAAAGCTTAATGATGATCAGTTTATTCTACGCCTTATCTGCACCTTAATTGATTATTCCAGATCAATTGAACTGCATTCCTTGCTGCTTTGTAAACTGCATCGCAATCAGCCCCTATATTCAGGAGAATTCTTTGATGAGTTTCTTGAACGTGGTTCAGACTATACTGTAAAGCTTATAAAGTTTTGCAGTAGCAAAGAGAACCTCCAGCACATTGTTGCTTGTTTTCCTTTTTATCTTGATTCACATTGGGACTCTCGCCATCGCAGGGATAGTTTGTTCATAAAGCTTGTTGTTTACCTGAGCGTTGTTGGCTGGAAGTGGACAGATCAGGCAGACATTGACTGCATGGCAAAAATAAGTCCAGGATTGGCTCAGTGGTGTCACAGAGCTACACGAACTCCTATCTCCTTGACCCATGCATGTCGTGTCTCACTGACGTCAAGTTCATATGCCAGACAATTCATTCTGCCGTCAAAGATCCCAAGCATGCTGCTCAGTTATCTCAACTACACTGATGTTGATTCATTAATTCCATTCAGATCGGATTTCTCATTTGACTCTTTACAGCTGTAATAGAAACTAATGATATTTATTAAGGAGAAAAAAATACTCATAATAAGAAAAACATATGCTCAGGCCTATTTCAATGTTAACAACAGTGAATATTATGTGTTTATAAAAAACTGCTGTATTGCCAGGATGGTCTCATTCCTGAGTGCCCTTTTGGGTGGCTCACAAAATGATTTCTAAAATTATTAGAAAACTGTTTTCATGTAAAGGAACTTTAAGGAAGTTAATTAAACACTAAAAAAATTGTTGCGGCTTTGATCAAAACCATGTTTTTTATGTACTAGTTGGGATGGAATTACCTGGTTTAAAAATGTTTTAATTATTTCCTTTTGTTTTACGCTTAAACAAAGGCTTTTCTTTTTTAAATATGCAGAATTAAACTAATCATGTAAAAATCTTTTTAAAATGTTCATAAATTTACCGTCAGATATTAAAAAAAATAGTTTTGATTTGTACTTATTACGCAAATGTTTTTTTAATTCTTAATCTTTTTTGCTGATCTGGTGCCAATAGGAGTATACCTAAATGTATAAATATTTTCTTGCTTTAAAATTTTTTTTAAAATTTTTTACATCACATTGTGATCTGCTGATGAAGGCATTTAATGAACCTTCAACATATATTTTCCTTACTATATATAGATTCTAATCCACTATAAAATGTACAATTATTTCATGTATATCTGACTTGTACGCTAAGATCAAATTATTATCAAACTTCTTTTCTTGGTTTAAATTAATTACTTGCGAAGAATTCATCTTTCAAGAAAAATTTAGCTACCTTGGAAAATTCTAGCTTTTCATAAATATTTAATAATCAGAATGCATTTAGTTTTGATAATTTTGAAATTTATACAGATGATTAAGTACTTATGAAAAGCTGGAAAAACTTCAAAGCCAAAAAACCTATCTTTTCCATGTAAAAATGCCTAGTGTAATAATACATATCATGTGGGAGAATGTGATCAAATAATAAACAAGGAAATGAGAAACACAGTGTAACTTGAAAAAGACAACACAAAACAGAAAGTCTCTTTGGTGAACAATAACACATAATTTTAAAAAAAGAACAACATAATGAATTAATGAACTTATGTCATGTGGGTGAAGGATGCATAGGTTTGAATAAATTGTTCAGTTTTAATATGAGAATATATTTAAATCTTAGTGCTGTATGCTTTGTCATTTTATAAAACAAAAGTATTGTTCTCAGAAAGTGACTGTAAAAAATAGGATTGGTTATAACCTTTAAACAAAATGGATGAAGTGGCTTGCATTTGAGCATACATTTGTAAGTTGACTGTATGATAGTTGAAAGCCATATTTTATTGTTTGTATGATGCTTTTCAATGTAAAATATAAGATTTAATCACATAAATCCTTTGCTTTAAAATTCGTATTGACATTGATGATTTATTTTTCTATTTTTGGTTTTGCTCATCTTCCTGGCAATATTTGCTATTTTTTTACATTTATTTTTATCAAGTTATCATACTGTTTATTCTTTAACTTTTCTTATTATAGTCTGTTGCACTGTCAATTTTTTAAAAGGCTATTTGTTTAAAATATATTAATTTTTTAAAACTGTTAAATTTAACATTTTAAGTTTTTAATCTATATGGAACTCCTTGTTACTGCTAAATGAAAAAAAAAAAGGAAACTAGATACATTTACTGATTTATATAACTCCTAACTCAATATTTCTCTTGGAAACAAACGTCTGTAGGTTTATTAGTTATGAAATTTTACATTTTGGCTTTAAAGTTTAATGTCCTAATGAATCTGGCCAAGGAAAATAAGAAAAGGCACCTTACTTTTTCTGGTCTTTTCATGGGGCTATTAATTACTGCTCATGTCATGTCATTTAGTTTGCTGAGGGTAAAAATGTACTCCCTATACCCCCTTTTTGTGTTCCCCCCATCATTTATCTCTGGATCTGCCTCTGGTCATGAACCTATTATTAGCATTATTAAATATTTGAGAGAAATTTTGCATTTAGCACTTTCTAAATATTTTTACTAGCTGTTATCCAGGGATAACATTTTGGGATTTGATATAGTAGTTTTACAAAAAAGTGGGTAACTTCTTAAGAAAGGGGTAATGGAATGTCTCCCGTCCCCTTTTTTCCATGCTCCTGAAATGTATCAAATTTTTGTCATAACAACTCTGTACGGTATGCATCAAATTTCCAATTCTTAGTTTAAAAAGGTTGGGCATTGCGTTTATGTATCAGTTAGTCAGAGATGACCCTTTCTTTTATACTGCTGTGTAAGGATCACTTTTTTGTATGTTAATCGCTTGTGTTTAAACTTCTTTAACAAACCCAGCTGTTGATTTCATGCTGCTTATTACATTTACGTGCCCAGAATTAGGCTTTTCTTTCAGTCTCATAGAAGGTGTAAATTAAAGTCACACAATTTCAATGTAGCCCTGATACTGACTCTGTCTTTTCCCTCCCACTTCTGTCTACACATAATAAAAGGTAACATCTGTTTAACATATGTCACAGTGTGTATAAAGATATTGGCTTTATCTTTATCAGTACGCAATCAATAAATCCTTTTTCCCCCTTATTTGACACGTGTATTTGCAGCAGAGGATAACTATTTTCAACTGAGTTTCATTATTTATCATAAGTGCTGGTTATTTTTTAGAAAATGCCATATTTTTTTCAGCTTCATCATTGACAATTAGTTGACTCATTAATTAAATAATTAAATAATTATTCCTTTTTTGAGTCACATGTATTCTTTTTTTTTTAAATACATATTTCCACATGTGACAGATTATTCCATATATATATTTTTAGAGAATTATGCATTTTCCTTCATAAATAATGCTCATTGCACAATTATTTTAAATATTCTGCTACCTAATTAGGATAATGTATCCAGATAGGGAATTTCATTTTTAAACTCGGGCGAAATCAGTGAAGAACCTATAGCCTCAAAAATCTTGGCTCCAACCCCTATGACCACCTGTTTCTTCTGACCATAACCATTCTTCAGTTTCTCCTCTCTGACCTTCTTTATTTAATCGTTTAATTTTTTAAAACCTCAGCCCTTACCTGCACTGTTACTTTCCTTTACAATTCTGAATCTTTCAAACATTTTTAGTTTCTTTCACTTGTGTTTAACAACATTTTCAGTTTCTTTCACTTGTGTTTAACAACATTTTTAGTTTCTTTCACTTGTGTTTAACAACATTTTCAGTTTCTTTCACTTGTGTTTAACAACATTTTCAGTTTCTTTCACTTGTGTTTAACAACATTTTCAGTTTCTTTCACTTGTGTTTAACAACATTTTTAGTTTCTTTCACTTGTGTTTAACAACATTTTCAGTTTCTTTCACTTGTGTTTAACAACATTTTTAGTTTCTTTCACTTGTGTTTAACAACATTTTTAGTTTCTTTCACTTGTGTTTAACAACATTTTTAGTTTCTTTCACTTGTGTTTAACAACATTTTCAGTCTGTTTAAGTTCATTGATGAATTTTTTTTTTTTTCATTTTTGTTTCTGCTCTATTAAAAGGTAAACTGAATTTAGGACATCAATATTATCTCTCATAATTCAGACCTATTTACTCTTATGATTTTAGCGTAAAATGTATGATTTTGAGATGTCTTTTACCAGTGTATGTCAAGACCTGTCAGAACTAGGATTTAAAGAGACCGGATTGAAAGCATATACATTCCGGTAGTTTTTCATATTAGAAAATAAATTAAAAAGTACGTTTTTGGTTGTTATTTTTAGCTCCTTTCTACAGCCAGCTGTAAATGTATCAAGAAATACCATTGGTTGGGGACCATCTATAAATATATTACTGCACATTTACCCGAACATTAGTTGACATCTATAGCAGATAAGATACACGTCTGCTAAACAAAGTAACCACAGATTGCAATATAAACGTCAGTCCTCTACTTTTGGAAGTTACCTTTTTTGACACCAGCTTAACTCGATGCCACTTGGCACACTATGCTAGTAGTTATTGTGCACATTATATACACTGTATGTCTATATATTTACCATTAATTAAGATACTGTATTGTAAGAGTTTTAGAAGATATTGTACGATTTTAATAGTTCGAGTGTAAGCAGGTCTAATAAAGCCATAATTTTGAGCATATCAATATCATCAAACATCTTTTGATAAATAACTTTATCACTTGTAGTCCATCTAAATGTGTTTTTAAATAGACCTTGATATAAATATATATATATAATTATTATATATTATTAATATTATTAGAAATTATTATATATTATAAATTTAAAGGTACCAAAATCCTTAAGTAATTGTTTTTCTAAAATGTTTTTTTCTAACATTTTTTCTAGTTTCATGATATTTCTCCAAGATATTTAAAAATTAGTCAATGAAATAATACAATTACAATATTCATGTTTTGAAATTCAGCCTTTGTATAAAATTGGAAATTCAATGTGGCCCTTTTGATATAAACTATTATACACTTTATTCACTCATGTCTAGTCAAATACATTTTAAGAAAAATTATTTTTTTTTTTAAATAATTGAAATGTGTTCTATTCAGATGTCAAAAGTTGTTGTTTTTTTTAAATTAAATCTATATTATAATTCATATTTGTCACGATTATTTATTTAGCTTGAAAAAATCCCCCCCCCCCCCCAAGCAATTTTTTTAATAAAAAATCCACATTATTAGTTGTCCCCAGTTAATTGAAATAATAGCTTTATAGACTGTGATTTATATTTTATAAGTATTATTAAATCTTACTCTTTACAATTTACATGTTACTTTTATATTATGTATTAACTTGTACTTTACATTTCTACAAATGACTATTCAATGGCTTTCTGTCAGATACATTTGATTACATACATGTAAGCCAGATACATTTGATTATATACATGTGTGGGCACTGTTTGTACTCTGATTTATTTTTTTTTTATATTTAGCATTTTATATTATAAA